AAACTTTGAAAAGAATGTGAATTGGAGGTGCTGCTTTTGGAGGTAAACCAGAGAAAAATGCTTTGTCCTCCGGAATAACAAAAAATAAATAAAAAAATAGAGTGGGAGAGTTTAGCTGATGCGGTTAACACAGTTGGGTCTGAACATCGCACTGAGTGGGTTACAAAAGAAATAGTATAAGGTGTAAAATTTTATAAAGTCTTTAGCAGTGTGAGTGGTGTAGCTCGTAAAACGCATGGCAACATGTTTTGACACGTTCGAGCATGAACTCGGTTCGAATCCAGCATCTGATGAACTTTTTTTTTCCCCCCGCTACATATCAGATTTTGCCTATACTCTTCATCGTGAGGAAGACAAGTAGGAATCATTAATAAGTCTGTGCATCATATTTTATTTGCACATTTATTGAATGGAAATGTTTCTGATTCATGTATACAAATACATCTTCGAATGGTGCCTTTATAACAATGTGCAGTAGATCGCTCCGATTAAATTGGGAAAAACGGAGACCGCTGCAGATTGCGCTTTAATGTTTGGCTGGTCAACTGCATGGTACGGTAAACTTATATACCTGCTATACATGTGGATGAACCCGTCTCATACAGCTGCCATTGCACGGCTCAGACACTTAGTAGAGTGCAATTTAACACAACTGCCTCTAGGATAATAGAAATAAAACAGACGCAAACAAGAAATGTGCGCGCGCCAGGCATGCAGTTGAGCGATTCTGAGCGTGTAACCTGGCATACACAAAGTTTTTGTGCGTACGCAGCGTTGATACATGAGGCCCCAGGTGTATGGCATTGCACACCACGCCACGGCATTGCAGAATGACCAGAGGAAGAACATCTCTAATACAGAGGTATATTTTATTAGTGCTTCAAGGAAAGCATAATCCACATGTCTTAATTCGATTTCTCTTTAGTTAGATGATGACCTTAATCTGATTAAATTAATAAATCTCTTAATCAGAGTAGTGTCTTAATCACATTAAAATCGAATTACTGGTGCCCACGAAACGTATCAAGGCTGGCCAGGACCAGCACTGAAACATACCTTACCTTTTTTTTTTTTTTTCAACAGGGAGCTAGCTAGCTTATTCACTATAATTTCATAAAAACAAATTCAGTATTTCACAAGTCTATTCTAGAACAAGTGGAATTTTTTCTGTTTCCCAAAACATGTATTATACAATTGATAATACTAAAAAATATAAAACTATTTGAATCTGTCTCCTTTCTATTTATTGCCCACTTGTTATGAGTAAAATAAATGTAGTTTTTTTGTAAGTTGTTGTTTTAATCTAATGTTAACTTTAAAATGTAAAACTAATGTTTTTTTATGCATGGCATCTGTGTTTCTGGTTTAGAAATATTTGGCGATGGCATCTAATGCATATTAACCTAAGGCAAAAGTATGAACATGTTAAAAAATCTTTTCAAGTCTATAACCAGTTTACCACTATCGTGTCGAACGGTGTTTGCTTAACTGTTCCATTCCGTGCTGATCCGGACCAGTCAGCATGCAAATGGTTTCATTTTCCAATGTGCTGCTGACATAACAAACTCTGCTTATAACACAAATGCCTAAGTTGTTCCCTTGGTAACCTGAGTGTAAATATAGACGTGGTGACATCATATACAGGCATACTCTATCAGTTCAGTTCACTGGTTCTACAGTTCAGTAACAGGGTCACATGGAAACATCTGTAACCATGCCTGAGTGTTCGGCATAATAGTGGAAAAGCAAATAATGGTAAATTGCAATTTTTGATCCAAGAGTTATATAAACAGTATTGTTACTAAGAGTATTTATTCTGTCTGAAACTACAATGTATATCAATGTAATTAGGTTATTTATTTAAAAATTTTAATTTTAGATACAAAAAAAACTTGTTTCCCTTTTCCTTCCAGTGTACTGCTCTAAATTTAACTATCCTTTAAACTTACAGTAAACTGCAAATATAAAACAGAACCGTTTACATTTTTTAAGTTTTATTGAAAACTGACATTATTCTTATTCTTTTTCAGTCAACAGGATCCATCGTGTTTGTAATCGGTGACGGCTTCGTTCGCCGTGGGGAACAGCGGGCAAGGCAGATTGTCGGGACCAACCTTGGTCTTGACGCCTATATCAGGTGGTTAGGCTGTGAAGGCTTGGTCTGAAGAAACTTTGTCTCTTCCTTTCTTCGCTGTCTTGGAGGAAGAGCTGTGCCAGATGTCCTTGGTAGAATCAAGAGTTATATACTTGCCGCAGTGATCAAGCAGGCTTGCAAGATCTCCATAGGCAGTTCCCTCAGATGAAGATTATCTTCTCTGAAATCACCCAGCAATGCCTTTGGAGGTCTGCTGATAATCTGAAGAAGGTTGACAGGGCATGGCGCTTTGTCAACCGTATGATGGCTACTTTTATGGTGTCAGTTTGTGGTGCCATTGTCCATCTCCTGGAGATAAAACATAAAGGTCCTGGCCATTTTTTACGTGATGGAGTTTATTTGACCCTTTTGGGCAATGACATATTTTTAAACAACCTTGCCCAATGTCTGAAAGATCAAATCCAGTAGGGTGATGCTGGATCTGGAGTTTCCACCTAATTTTGGGATGAAAAATGGTCAGGATGTTTTTGTTTTTTTGATATGTGATGAACAATTTGTTTGTTTTGTTGTTTGTTTGCTGATTTTCTGAATGTTTCTAATATTTTTGCGGCAGATGGACGCAAGTCACTTTCTGCATGTCCAAAACTAAAAGATTCAGTAAAAGCAAATCGACCGGGATGTGCGGAAGTCCTTCCATTTTATCGCTGTGCTTTCTTGACTGTCACCTAGCAACAGCCAAATAATGGAAGTGAACCGCCAACTGTACAACAAACTATCGTTTTCATAACTTTCATTCGTGTGCATCACATCGTACCTTGGTGGCAAGCGGGATTGAGCCAGGGCAAACACAGTGATAATGTCTGCTTGTCTCCTCCGAAAACAGCTTCTGCAGACACTAAGTGATGTTCTGAATGTTTATAATATTTTTGCAGCAGGTGGACACAATTCGCTTTCTGTATGTCCAAAACCAAAAGCTTCAGTAAAAGCAGAATGACCGCAATGCGTGGACGTCTTTCCATTTCAACGCTTTGCTCTCGTGACCGTCACCTAGCAACAGCCATAAACAAAACAGAAGCTCGATGACGCAAGCGTACCGGGGCTCAGAAGTAAAAGAGTGTGAACACAAACCAACCCAAAGATGGCAAGGGGGGACAATCAAACTAAGGTCCAAGCAATTTAACGAAGTTTAAAAAGCACCCTTAATCTCATATTAAAGCAATTCATTCATTCATTTTCTTGTCGGCTTAGTCCCTTTATTAATCCGGCATCATCACAGCGGAATGAATCGCCAACTTATCCAGCAAGTTTTAAACATTCACACTACGGACAATTTAGCCTACCTAATTCACCTGTACCACATATCTTTGGACTGTGGGGTAAACCGGAGCACTCGGAGGAAACCCACGCAAGAACATGCAAACTCCACACAGAAACGCCAACTGAGCCAAGGCTTGAACCAGCAACCTTGCTGTGCGGAGACAGCACTACCTACTGCACCACTGCATCGCCATATTAAAGCAATGTTATTGTAAAAAAAATTACAATTAAACCATATTAACAAAAATAAAAATAACTGTAAGCTAAGGAAAGCAGGTGAAAAACATACAGTGAGTCATAATGAAACTATGATCACGTACACTCGGTTAATGTTAGGCCTGTTAATGATGTGTTCAAAGAATAATTAAAACGAAACAAGTGACAGCTGCTACTTTCAAAAGGATATTTTTTTTTATCTTGAGCTCTCAAAAGCAGCAGTGTAAATGTCAAGCACTGATTTCCACTGTTATTATTATCAGTAGTAATGAGTAATTTAGAGCAATGAGTAATTAGTAGTAATGCTACAAAAAATACAGTGTCCAAAAATATATATACAAAAATACAAGGTATTAAACCAACAAATCATATATAAAGATGAATATATACACAACACAAAAACAAAATCAAAGAAAAAAAAAAGTCAAACAAACACTGTATTACTAGTATCCAATTATTCAGAAAAATTGCTCACAGCTCTGCCACAGCATGCTCGCTTGCCTGGTAAACTGACCTCAAGCTTCTTCAATTTAATGGCGGTTGACAAACAACAAAATGGTGTATTTCCACCACCAACTGGTACGGAGTGTGGATCATTAGGATTTAACCCTTACCTACAGCTTTCTTTTATTAAATCCTCTCCCATAAATGACAATTTTAAAAATATTGCAATAAAAAGGTAAAACATTTATTTCCTGGGTTATTTTTTAGGATGTCATTAAATTTGAATCGAACTTTTATCTCTTTTAAATTCTTACTAAATTCTCTCCTTTTATCTTCATACCTCATGCAGTGTAAAATAACATGTTAAACTGTCTCTTCTTGTCCACAAAAAGCACATTGTCCTGTACCATGTTTACCCATTTAAAAAAGTGTACTATTTAATTTTATGTGTCCAAATCTCATCCTAGATATTATCTCCTCTCTCCTGATTTTTTTCCTACACTTTTCATTTCTCCTACTTTCCTTTGAATTTTGTATGCCTTTTTTCATTATCCCATTGTCATTGCCACCTTTCCTTCAATCTTCTCTTAATAATACTCTTGATTTCACTTTTACATATATTTAAATTTAGACTGATGTCATTATTTTTCACAGCTTGTTTTGCTTCCTTATCTGCAATTTCATTTCCTTGAACACCAATATGCGCAGGTACCCATAAAAAATATTACTGTTATACCCATTATTTGAATTCTATACAAGGTTTGCATTATTTCTAATAAAATGTCTGGTCTACTTTTTGAATACTATATTGTAAACTTGCCAGTGAAGAACTCGAGTCTGAACAGATAACTGATTTCAAGGGTCTCCACTACCCATGGTATTGCAAATAAATGTGCAATCATTTCTCCTCTAAATACCAAGACTTCATCACTAATCCTTTTCCCTACCGATATTTGAAATTCAGGAACTGTAAAGTAATTCATTAATATATTTTTGTACAAAAACAAATTACATTCCTCATCTTTTTCTCTCTTTTCTAATGGTGTAAAATCTACTGATGCGTCAGGTAGTGACTATGGTTTCTGACCTCGAGCTGGAGTCTGGCGTCCCTCTTTATACGCCAGACTCCGCCCATTGATTGGCGCAAGCCATTCTCTAATAAGTATATAAAATATACTTTCAAACTCGCCTTAAATGGCAACGCTTTACACATTAAATGTTCACGTCTGCTAAACAGACACATAATACATAAAACATTAAACACATACATACAACCATTAACACATCTTTTCTGTAAAACAGGACAAACACCAACGCTGGTTATACCCACAGACAACACTTGGTACAGTCGGACGTTCCATCACTTTGCTCGGCTTGGCCGCTCTCGCGCTGAAGTCCAACCCCCCTAAACAAACAAATAGACAAACAAACAAGACACGAAGACAGTGGGGGACTGAAGGGGGAGAAGTTAAACTGTGGAAGGATGACGGTATGCCAATGATATGGTGCGTGCACTCATCAATATCACCGCTAACGGAGGAAGGAAAGAAGGTAAGTGGTGTGTGTGTGTGTGTACGTACCGGTGCGACGTCAGAGACGTAGGAGAGAGTCTCATTTCTTCACAGTTGTTCAGTCAGAAATTAAGATTCAAGCATTGACATGTTGCTTTACTGAAAAGATGCTCTGGCTGTTTCCTAAGCAGTTGCTCATGTAAACTTTGCTTATAGAAAGATGGATAAGAATAGACAGATAACACATGACAGAGAAAGATAAAAAAATAACAAATGGTGGTTACATATGTACAGTTGAAGTCTTGTCTGTGCCTTGATGACAGTACATATTATTTTTCAAGATACTAGTATTCAGCTTAAAGTGCAAATTAAAGACTTAGGTTATTTTGTTAACTATGCAAATTATGTTATTTAGGCAAGTAATTGGATAACTGGTTTGTTTTGTAGCCAGTAGAAAAAAATATATAATTATTTCTTGAGGGGGCTAATATTATTGATATTAAAATTGTTTAAAAACATTAAAAAACTGCTTTTATTGCATGCAACTAAACTAAAAGAAATACAATTTTCATCAGAAGATAAAATGTTATAGGAAATACTGTGAAAATATCCTTTGTCTGGTCAGCTTTACTTGGAAAATATTTGAAAGAAATAAGAAAAAAAATCACACAAAGGGTAATAATTTTGACTTCAACTGTATATTACAAAAATCACACAGATGTGTATTAAGTGTGTGTTTTTAGTTTAGATGTGTACGATTGGTCTATGTAAACTGCATAACTTTTTTTTTTTTTTACAGTTGAAACCAATGAGGATGACCTCAACAGGAGAGAGCCTCCAAGTCCCAGTACTAGATGCAGTTAAAGGCACTTGTGCGATTATTTTCAATTATCAAGTAGTAGAGCTGAGCAATTAATAAAATTTAGATTTAGACCTTCAAAGATTATAAAAAAGTTTTGAGATAAAACAATTTTCAAATCCTGCCTCTTTTCCAGCAGTCTGTATTTGTTCCTCTTCAAAGCTGATTTTACCTATTGATTGAAACTGAGCTTTGCATATTAACAAATGTGTGTTTATCTATCTTTCCATCCATCCATCATCTGTCTGTCTCTCTCTCTCTGTCAATCACAATGAGTACAGTAGCAAATATACCCCTTAATAGGGTATATGCCGAGCTAGTGTTGTTCCCATACTGATAAACTTCCGGTGACCTGTTATTGTGAGTTTTTTTTTTCCATTTTATAAGTTTCTTTTTACATAATCGATGTTGTAATGTCTTTAAAATACATTCAATTAAACAGACTTTAGCATGCATTTAGCCATTTACTCGCATGCGCCCGTCAGAATCGGCAGGCTAGCACAAAAGCTCCATTGAATATACTGGGGCTCAAATAAATGCTCATATTATAAAGATATGATGGGGGAAATGTAATTTAATGCAGTGCTTCTTGTACAATCTGAGACCCACTTTATATCGCATATCACTCAGCTAGTGGAGATCGCTGATTTTTAAAGAAAACGGACCCTAAACAAGCCGATTTTGCGCTGACATACAGTTCACCGGAAGCATTTATCCTAGGTTACTGGCAAATTAAAAGTCCTATTAGCATGCTTCAGCTTAACCATACTTACACCAACAAATTCATCTTTTGCAGAACTATTCATTATAAAAGTATCAAGCTTGACTTTGTCTATAAACTGTTATGTAGGACATTACTTTCAATTAGTTTGTGTATAAATCATTAAAAATAGCACTTTTAGTAATGTTAACTTATCTGATTTATTTCCTCATTTATCCTCATGAATCTTCTGTCTTTTCTTGTTAAGGTCTTTGAACAAAAGTTCGTGAAGGAAGTACTTGAGGTCATTGGGGTGTCCAAAGAATGAGATAGCTTGTTCCTTCCTACTGAAGGCTTTAAAGAGTACATGCTTTGCAAGGACATCAGCAATTACAATTAACAGAAAATGTTAGGGTGGTGTAAGGTTAGGGTGATTTTTTTTTTCTTTACATTTGTTTTCAATATTTGATTAGTTAACTTTTATATTTTAAATTTAAAAAGTTTTAAAAAGAATAAAGGAAAAAATGAAAAGTAAATTTTTCGTTTGTTCTTTTTTGTTCATGAAAAAACTACATTTAAAATTATTAGAAATACATATGTTTTTTATTTTTAAAAAAATATGTAATATTTATTTTTTGTCTCAAAAAAACAAAACTGCAATGAATTTAAACAGAAAAACTTTTTTAAGTTAAAGCAGTATTATGCTTTTTTTGTCTTTTGCATCAGCATTTTATACTTGCCTGTGTTTTCTCGGTCCGTGTACTGTACGTTGCATTCAGTCGATTTTTGATCTTAAACGAAATGTGAAAAAACGAGGAAACGGCTGTTTTTCATTTTTTCATTTGCCCACAAAGAAATTAAACAACTGATTTTAGCTCGATTTTTGGTTTAGAATAGGAAAACGGATAAATGACTTTAAATTTCATTATCCACATGTAGGCGGTTCTGAAACGCCCATTTCCACTGATTGGTCAATCAAATCTGAGCTCCTGACGTCACCCTCAAAATAATAGTCCTCGTCCTTAGCGGATCAGCACCCAGACATTTAAATATTATTATTTGATTATACATATGCATATTAGCAGTGTTATGAGACATTTATGATTACAATTTATCATTACTATTATAGTTCGCCGCCAAATTTGCTGCTTTGCACCTGATGCTCAGCAAAAGATTTGCGAGCAACACTTGGTTTGCATGATTGTTTCCAAGCTAGGCCTATATAATAGTAATAATAATAATTATTATTATTGTAGTGTTTTTTTAATGTATAGTTTTTATTTTTATAGTTGTTAGCAGGGCCAGAATAAGAGTTCATTGGAACACACACACACACATTTTCTCTCACGCAACAAGCCTTCCTTTCGAGACTTTTGCTGGATTAATGTCGAGAACGCAGTAAAATATCTGTAAATAACCAGTTTTCCGTATTATGTGATTCATGTTTTTATTTTTTTATTATTTATTTATTTATTGATATTATGCTACAAAAACTTTGTAATAAACTGTCAGTGCATTTTCTGCTATTTTACAGATTCATTTATCTATAGCCTATATTATTTCTTAAACATTATATTATTTCAAAAGTCCACAGAGGAGAGATTAAGATCCCATAATGCAATCCACAACCATAAATAAACGGCAAACACATACGGAAACTGTTAACAGATATTTTTAAGGTGTAGCCTTGCCAGGAGGTTATGAGTGTGCAATACACAGGCTTGGCCCTATAGTCTGTGTTACATGGCCTTTTATATAAATAAGATCTATTTAGTTCAGTTCAGCTGGACATCTTACTACAGCTAGGCGCCGCGCTTCTCTTCAGCAGCAGCTGCTGGAGTGACGAGAATGATGCAAGTGTCGGATCCAACAGACATAGAGAACGATGATCTTTAATTTTTCCGTTTAAAATAACTGTTTAATATACATAATACACTAAATGTACGTATCATTTGAACCACATACTAGAACATAGGCCTATGCATGATACATTCATTGCGTATGCATAAATTATATAAAAACAGAAATTAGCAGAATAATTATTTAACAAATCCGAGCTCCTGACCTCTCCCTCAAAATAATAGTCCTGTAGTCCTCTGCGGATCAGCACCCAGGCATTTAATTATTATATTTGATTTTATATATATATATATTGCTATTTTTTTAATTTATCATTAAAAAAGTTATAGTTCGCAGCCATATTTGCTGCTATGCACCTGATGCTGAGCAAGATTTCCGAGCAGCACCTGGTTTTCACGATAGATTCACGATTGTGATCTGCACTGAGGAAAAGGCAGATGGTCCAGACATAATTCGTAAAATAATGACTTTAAAATGTAAATGTTTGTAATACAGAAATAACAGTGAGCATAGGCCTATAATTAAATTCTTATTAGCGAAACAATTCATCCACAGCACTGTATAGCAGACCGGCACGAACAAAAATATACACTTCATATAGGCTTTTTTGTTGGAAAGATGATTTTTTTATTTTGAACGAATTTCGTTTGGTATAATTTTTTATAATTAAGTTATCTTCATTTTAATGTATTTTTTTGTTGGCCAGTTAACTACAAAACAACAATATTTGAGGTCCGCTATATAGGCTTCAGTGCCAAAACACAAAATGTTTTGTTAAATAAAATAATAATATAAATAAAATTTAAGTGAAATATTCAGTTTCAGAGTAGCCTATATTAAACTGTATTGGCTATTAATGTCAAAATCATCTATTGCGACTGTCAGTTTTGATTTAATTCCGTGATTTAGCTGAGCCAGGACAGCATTTGCATAACCAATGACTGATCCTATCACCTTATCCACCCAATTAAATAAAAATGTAGACTTTAGCACTTAAAAAATACTCCCATATAGGCTATGTGACTCTTGCGAATTCACTGAGTAAACTGCTGAGCTCTACAGTAAATATATATATATATATATATATATATATATATATATATATATATATATATATAAATTTGTTGTTTTGAAATAGATTTCTTTGTTATTGAAAAAAGCCAGAGAGAATAGTATAGAATTAATTTTGACATTCAGTGTTTGGAAATCAGCCATATGGCCAAGTGAAATATTTCATTAATGTTCGGCTGAATTTAAGCTTTCGTCCTTACAACATGTACGCATATCCATCCATCTCTCTCTCTCTAGGCTATATATATATATATATATATATATATATATATATATATATATATATATATATATATATATATATATATATATATATATATATATATATATATATATATACGCACACACACATATAAAGAGAGAGTTGGCCCCCCAGCCACCAAACCAGATCACTAGTATCCTGAAGCTGCTGCCCAGCTGTTTCCAAGGTGATGAGGAGGAGATGGAGAGGATGCGGGAGGATCTCCTGGAGGAGGTCCAGAGAGACTATGAATTCAGTCTCCACAAGAGCATCGTCGATAATATTCTGCTAGATCCAGCTGAGCGAGAGCGTCTCTCCATCTCTGCTGTTCCCCACCAGTTCCCATCCCGTGTGATTCGTACACCGGTTCCCTGGTCAGAAAGCTACCAGGAGGCTCACAGCTGGCAGACCGAGAACCTCTTAACTGTCAACCCTATGCTTCTCCACTTAGAGGACCTCTGGATGAGCAGCTTCTCGTCTCTGCGGTTTGTGAATTCGGACAGTTTGCTCTCTGCTGATCTTCCACTCCTGCCAGGAGAGTTTGAGGACACACTCGCCCATGGTGAAATGGAACTGCATTTCTACTGTCCATCTTGTACAGAGTATATTGGAGAAACTTGTGAGGGTGTGTGTAGGAATACCAACTGCAAATTCAAGTATAATTTGACCACTTGCAAAAAAAATAGAAACTTCTTTCTTTTTTTTTATGGAAATCAAATGCGGCAAACAATCTGCTTGTTAAGTGTGACGTCAAGAAAAGTGGCTTCCAGGTCCAAGCGCTCTAGTCAACTGTAAGGGGAGACTCATGAAATGGTAATTATAAATGTTTACAAAATTATTTAATACTTAGATTTTTGTGTACACTATGACTTTTATATAAAATTAACTTTAATGTGTGATATGAAATAAAAGTGATCATAAACAAATAATTTCTCTACTCAAATGAGTGGCGGCTTGGACCCAGAAACAGAATTGCATACGTCACCAACACGTCATCACTTATTAAGCAGATCCTCAAAAACAGCATAAGTGAGTCAGATCTAACTCTTCTTTAGAACTATGGTAGTGTTCCAGTTTTTGAGTCATCAGGGTATTCTATCTGGCCTTTACAATGTGTTGTACTGCCATCTGTAATTAGAAAAAAAATAATTGCATAGCATTATGGTTTGGACGGTCATCATAAATTATGACTACAATGTTCACTCCTGTCACTGAGGAAGCTAAGATGTTTTACACACAGGGCTTTATCTTGCAAAATCCAATCACAAATACACAAGCTACCTCCTGAACATTTTTACTTACCAGTGCTTATGATGCAGCGGCACGGCACAGGCTGAAAAATTCCATTCAGTTTAATGGGAAATTTGGCTGTGATTGGTTCCTCCATCCTGGCGAAATGGTTGAGAAAGGAGCTGGGATGGTTTGTGTATATCCATTCAGTATCCCTGAGCCAAGGACACAAGGCAAGTGGGAGGTTGATGCTATTGCTGCAAATAGTACTCCTGTATATGGTGTCCTTGGGCTTTGTCAGCTTTCGTTCTTGCCATAGTTCACATAGCAGTGTTTCCTCTAGGATTTTTTTCCAGCTGTGGCGGCATGCCTTTTTTTTTTTTTTTTTTTTTTACACAGATCTACCAACTACCTGTGGCGGTATTTCAAATGGCAAATGTGAGCGCAGTATTAGAAGTTGAGATCGCATTAATGAAATAGCCTACAGCATGCGGATCTCTTTGCTTGCGCGCCGATTTCCTCTGCTCGTGCACAAAACTTCTTGCACGCCCCTCAAATATAAGGCGCTTCAAGAGCGCGCAGATCTTCTTGTGCGTTCTCAAACGCTGCTGAAGTGTGATTTATTGCATTTATGTAGCGAGTATGTCTTATTTATTAGATTTGCTAGGAATATTTATGAATGTCTCCAATACCTACAGAGCGGTATTAATGCATCCTGAAGTAAAGTGAAAGGGCTATACGTCGTGTTTGCTGTCCTCACGCATCACACACCAGTCTGTCAGTCAGTCAGCACGTCACCTTGAAGGTTTAAACAAATGACGCACAGCACTATTACGGTAACAGAAAAGTTTGCGCTGTTATAATTCACTTTCACCTTATAGGTTTTGGTGCGATTATTACCCGCTATTAAAAAATAGAATGTTTTGAATGAGAAGCTATAATGTAGCCGTGGCGGGATGAATTTTGTCGTGGCATCTGGCACTTTCAGTGGGTATGTTTACATGGACACCAATACTCTGATTTTAATATGATTAAGACAATACTC